TAGAACTCTTAGCTCTATCTTCAGTTTTAAAATAACTTAGTTTCATATAAAATATTTAATCATATGAAAATAACAGATAATATACTTTATTCTTATGCTGTAGAATGACATATCTAGCTTACAATTGTTGGAGACTGAGGTTCAAACCTAATAGAATGGGCTATCTCTCTTCCATACTAATCAACCTTATTTTAGCCAAACCTGCCCATGATGGACAAGCATGTGGCTTGCTATACAACTTCATGTATGAGAAGTACTGGCATATTAATCAATTAGTGACATATATTTATAAATATATAACTATTTAAACAATTTCAATAGTTTTAAGCTACATATATATATATATATATATAATCATTTGATTCATTATTTTTTTGTATAATTTTTACATTTTAACAATGATTTATCTTAATAGCTTCCAATTGAAGATAAAATAGAAATTATTGCTAAAGAGATATATGGAGCAGATGGAATAGAGTTATTAGAAGAAGCAAAAATAAAAATTGACAGATACAAAAGACAAGTAAGTTACATAGAAGACAATAAGTTACAAGAAGAATATTATAAAAATGTATTTCCTGCTAATTTAGAAACATGCACTAAAACTCAAGTTCAAATTAATGGAATAACCTTTCAGATGAAAAATTGTAAAAAAGCAAACTTAAGTTTCTGCATTAAAAAACAAACTCTTAAAAATTTTAAGAGAATTTAATAATTTTAAATTGTGAAACTTTTATTAAGAAAATTTTACCTTTAATATATTTTTAGCTTGGAATTTTTCATGGAAGATATCTCAACTATCTTTTAAAATATATTAAAATTTAACAATTTCAAAAGCAGTAATTGATAACTTAAAACTCAGGAGATTATAATGGGTCAAATCTTTTCTTCCAGAAATTCTAAATTAAAAATTAGCATGAGATGACAGCTTAACTACCTACCTGTAGACAAATTACTTCGTATCTGATTATTAAATTAGTCCAATTGAAGTCTGATAATTTGGCAGATTGTCTAGCTTTGATTATAATGTTAAAATTCTAAAATGATTGTTGATTTGTAGTACTTGTCCTTAATTACTTATCACTTTTATTCACTTTAGACATTCTTATGAATTAGGACTTGTTATACTGAGGGAAGAGAAACTCACATTTTCCAATTAAATATATTTATTGTAATGTAATCTTGTCAAGAAGTCCTAATTCAAAAGAATGTCCAAAGTGGACAAAAGTATAATTCTGAAATGATTAATTCTAATCAAAGTATTTTTTTTCTGGATTAACCAGAAATTGATAATATTTAAAACAGAACTTTTTAGGCAGAAAGCTTTCAGAGTGCAGAAGTTTTCAAAGTACTATATTATGTGAAAGATTTTGTAACTACTACATACTAATTAAGTATTAAAATTATTAAATTTTTTTTTATATTAATATACAATTAAGACTATGTAAATGAGTCTTTCAATATCCTTTCTCACACTTTAGGAAAATAACAATCTTATGGCGGAATCAACTTTTTATTACAGGTGTGATGATAGGTGCAAAATGAGTTACAAAGATACGTTATAACATAAATATCTTTATTTCGCATACAAAAAAATCGATTCTTTGGAATGCCAGCTCCTCTCAGACCCAATACACACGTATATAACCTGAGCCATACAAATCTTGATATAACACATCGTTATTGACTCTATTATTGTGACACTACAAATTACCGAATATGATATATTTACAACAAATATACAACAAACTACAACTAAGTGCTTACAACTAAGTAAATCTAAGTAAGAATAGAGTAAGTAGACTGAAACAGGAAATTGAGTAGGAATAGAGGGTACCTAGTTATAGAGGAAAGTGGGTACCTAGTTTTCAATGGTGATCTTGGGGTGGTGAATTTCCAGAGCTTTTCTTCCTCGGGTCGATTGATGGTCCTTGTTCTTGTTTAATTTTCTTGAATGATGGTCTGGATATTTCAAAGATCTCTCTTGACTGAAGTTTTCAATATTATTTCTCAGGTCTTCTTTCATCTCTATATGCTCCCAAAATGCACTAGAGAGCACACTTCATCGGTCCGGTCCTATCAAAGTCCCCACCATGAATGACCACCAACTTAGCCCTCAGGGCATCATTCCTTTCTCTTGTTCTCAGGATTAGTTATCACCACCCAAGGAGAAAAAATTAAAGAAAGAACATTCTGGAAAGGATAGACAAAGAAACAAAGAAAGAAAGAAAACTATACAAAATTATTATAAATATACATACATACATACATACAACATGTCAGAATGCCACACAGGCTACTCATTCACCTCACTATGCAAAATGTTACAAAATTTCTTCCAACACTCGTTTGTATAGTCTTAATTATGTATTAATTTTACAATTATAGTCCTGACCATTTTATCAAATTCTTTTGATGTTAAATTTATATTCAAATTCTCTCACCATTTTTTTACAACTAGTATCATTAATTCAGATTATCAATATTCTTATTCTAATTTTAGAATTATTTATTATTATAAATAATGATTTGACAAAGGTACTATAATAAGCTATCAGTTTATTAATCATGGTTTGCATATAATTCAGAATCTCACAATATCATGGTTAGTAGAGGTTGGGGTATCATTTTCCATTTCTTATTCATGCTGGCCAACCCCATTAAAAATCAAACTTATCTGTAATAGCAAAATTTTGGCCATCTATATAATGTTAATGCCTTGCATTGATCAATTGATTATTTTAATTAAATAAAGAAAATCTTTTCAGAATCACCTTAAAAGCACCTCTTATATTCTGTCTGATATATTCATTTTTATCGGAATTTTTAAAAGATAATTATTGATGGTTAATTAATTAAGAAGTCTTCATCCATTTATAATGAAAATAAACTGTATTATTATAGTAATATTCCAATATTGAAGATAATATTTTACATATATGAATAAACACTTGAAAATGAATAAATATGCTGTTTTTTGATTTTAAGGGATTCAATGATTTTCCAATTTGCATGGCAAAGACTCATTTATCCTTATCTGATGATCCAAATGCTAAAGGTACACCAAAAGGGTTTGTTCTTCCCATACGAGACATCAGAGCGAGTGTCGGAGCAGGATTTTTATATCCATTAGTTGGTACAGTAAGTATAAAAACCAGTTTATGTATTGATATATTATATAAGAATTATTTGAAATTTGGAACCATGTTCAAAGTTCAAGAACTTAAGAAATTTTTATAAATTTCTTAAATACTTTTTATAAATTAAAAAAACTTCCTATCTAAATTTCAGTTTTTGTTTGTTATTCTTTTGAATTTTACAACTTTAATTATTTTAGATTTTCATATTTAAATTATTCTAATCATGACTGTTAATTTTAAGTTCTATTTTTAACTTTTTAATTTTGTTCCATTTAAAGACCTTTAAATGTAAATTATGTTAAATTCAACTATCAGTTATATTTTGTAATTGTTCAATGTTCTGCATAAAGAGTTTGTGATAGACTAGATAGATTTGAAAATGTTTCTTTTCAAATAAATCTATTGGTTTCCTCAACTTAGTAGTTTATTTGTTGAATTTTGAACATGGTGACAAATCTTTGATTAAAAAAAAAGTCATAATGTCAGACAAGTTATAATGGAGGAGGGCATATACCATTTGTAAGAGTAAATAACTCATATTTTTAAACCAATCCCAATTAAACAGAGTCACTCTCATGAGTACTTTTATAATATCTCTACCAAGGACTGTCATAGAATAAAGAAATTTATATGGTACAAATGTTTTACAAGTTCTCATCTCTAACAAAAGGAGAAACATATTTTTTGGATTAGGCCTAAACTAACACATGCTACAGAAAAAAATCAATTATATACTATTGCAAATGTTTGATTTTTAGAATATCTTCAGGAGGATATGGATGGAAGACTGTTAGCTATACAAGTGAGCTTGCAATAAAATAACAGAACATCTTAAATAAATAGCAGTAATTTAACACGAAAATGTTGAAAATGTTTTCATATTAAATTACTGTATTGCTTTTTAAAAACATTTTCAAAAGCAATAATTTTTAGCTGGATGAAAAACTTTTGAAAATGTTTTCAAAAGTTCTTCATCAGACTAAAAGGTTTTGAATCACAATGGAAAGGAATATAGATTCAAATCCAAAGTTTGAATATTACAAAATTTATGGAATGATCTGATTGGAGCTCATAATGTAAATTGATTATAATGTAACCAAGCCGTTAAGCCATGCTGAGATCAATTATTACATGTGACAAATCAAAATAAATTAAGATAAAGGCTCAACAGGGACTTTATTTTAATTATAGAGAAGCCAGGCATATATAACATAGGCATAACAGATAACAGGATTGGCAAAAGAGTAGAATACATAGGTGCATATATGCAAGAAATTGAGTTTGCCAAATGTTGCTTACATCAGATGGCAATTAGCTACAAAGATTAAACAACAGTATATGAAAAAAAGGTCACAAGACCAAACTATTGCAATTTTGTGTAGATCAGCTAAGAAATGGTGCATAGAAAATGATATAATGTGCCTATATTCTGATAAGAGTAGTTTACTTATCTTCAGGAGTGTGTGCGTATTCAAACAGAAGATACAGGACTATCTGCACATTACAGATTCTAAACAATTGAACAAAGATACTACTACATCATCATCATATACCATTGTGTTGTCAATGGCCCTTCTATCACTACTAGGTGTAACTATTATAAAAGATTGCAACCCCAAACAGCAGTGGAAACAGTATATTACTCAACAGTAAAGACTGCATCAAGATTTCCTACCAATCTTAGAGCAGCCTGAGTGTAGTATGTTAAACTCTTTAATGACTTCTTGCTGACTGTGGACTCCTACCACTAAAATAACAAGTTTATCCCTTCTTACTTACTGCCATGTTTTACCAGGAAAAGATTAAACAAAGATGAATAAAACTCTGTACTCTTCCAGACTTGTAGGACACTATGTATGTACATATATTTTTTCCCCTTAAATATATATCAGAAATTTTAAATATGAAATGGAAATTCCTGTATACTGTAGTAGTGTTTGTTACTAATCTTTTATAATGTATATGGGTTCACAGAATTTTTTTTTAATCAGTAGAATCATCATCTGTGTAGCTCATAAATTACCTCCTGTATGACCATGAAAATTTCAATTCAAATTTCACTTGTTTTAGATATAATTTATAAATTTTTAATACAAATCATTGAAGAGAAAAAAGATATAATCATGAATGCTTCATTTGAGTATCAAAATTAATGAAAAGAATTTAAAAAAAAAAAAATATATTAATTTGGATATATAAGTCATAAATTAAGTAATTATTTATAAAATAAAATATAGAAACACATTTTAACCTTTTATATTTTTTGTTATAAAATTATTGTATAGACTCCTAAGGAAATTTCAAGTTTAATTCTTACTGATATTTGTTGTATCTTCTCTTATTACTATGTTACCTTGGCAAGTTATGAAATGATACTCTGTAATAGAATACTTTTTCATATAATTTTCCAAATGATTTCCCCACATGACAAGTTATCTATCATTTTACGCTTTTAGAGTGGCATTTTCTTTTATCGTCTACTTATTGAATATTCCTACTTTAATTTACGTCGAACAAGTGCAAATTTTGTTTATTATTCTATCAGATAATTCAATTCTTTACTGAATTGAATTAGAGGAAAATAAAACCCCTCATTTTTTTTATTTTTTTTATTAGATGACCCGTAATAAAAATCTTTGCTTGTAGGATTGAATCTTCCATTAAAAATCTTGATAATTTATGAATGGTCTTTTCTGAGGACTGGCGCATTCCAATGTGGATTAAATTCCTAGAGTTGAAATTTTACTAGGATTTTAAGTTAGATATTGCCTGGATTTTAGGCTAGAGTATTATATATATACTACAGGATCTTGTTACATTTCTGAATGCCATATAAATTTCCAAAATTCATTGTCCTGTTTTTTTTGTTTTACAGTAAGGAATGAGAGATTATTTTCCATATACAAGATTCCAATCAGTTTTGGAAAATCATTTAATGCTTATTTTGTAATTAGGAAAGTTATTTATAATTGTTGATACTACTATGCATATGTAGCTAGAACTATTTCTAAGATTATCAGCTGATAAATTGTACATTAATCGTGTACATTAAATAATGTTTTAAAATCATTTCCAGATGAGTACCATGCCGGGATTGCCCATCAGACCCAGCTTTTACGATATCGATTTGAATATAGAAACCGAAGATGTGGAAGGTTTATTCTGAAAGGTATCAAGTTTACTAATTTGCACACAAATTAAATGGAGCAATTTTTGTTTGCATGTGTTTGTAAAAAAATAATTAA